GATAAGCTAAAAACTGCAGAAACTGCTTATTTTTGCTAAAGAAAAATTTCAGAAGTTATCATAAAAATGCAGAAGGTGGTGAGGGTATGTGAATAAACATAGCATTCAAGATTACAAATGGCTTTCTGTTGAAAGTCTTCTACTCTTTAATGCAAATGTTTAATACATTATATTTGTTTTTTATAATTAATGGAATTTATTGAATTAATGAAACTTATGTTGCACAAATTCCATTTCTTTCCCTTTAATGATTTTCTGCATATTTTTTTTTTTTTTTACTTAATTTTATTTTATCTGAATTGTTTCTATCTACTAGTTTAGTATTTGTATTTTAATTTTGTTTTACCTGTAACTTTAGTACAGTATTAAGTTTATCCATTCAGCCGTATCTATGTACATTAATTATTAATTTTAGTTTTATTACATTTAAGAGCACTTAGATAAATGAAAGTTTTCTTTCGTTACTTGATATAAAAGTGTAAGAAAATTACGAAAGGAAATAGGAATATAAAATTTAGAATATCTAATTAAATATCAATATATTTTACATTGCAATCATACTATAAATAGTTCAATAACAGGAATTGTGCATTCCAAAATAAATTTGGTGTTCTTTTTTGGCTTTGCCTAAATGTCAAAAACTTCCCCAAAACTCTTTGAATAAGAATGATATGTATGATAACCACTGTTTAACTGTTTAGATTAGTATAAAAAATGATGAAGAGTTTTACTATACGAATGGTATTTCCTGTTTTTAAAAAAATTCAATGCATTGAAATTTTTTTTTCTAACTTTTCTTTATATTTTTCTTTTTGAACTAATGATAGCTCTAGGTATCTGAAATTTCATGATAAAATCCTTCTGAATGTTGTTATTCATATTAGTTACAGTAAAAGCGCAGCAATCTGGAAAGGGTAAATGAGCATGCTAAAAAAAATCATAATAGAAAAGCCTTATCAATGGAAGAAATTTTGTTGCTGTCGATGTTCTAGTTATTCCAACACAAGTTTGACTGCGTAGTCAGATAATTAACAAATAGGAGTTACAGATCTGATATATAAAAACTTAAATTGCTGATCATAAGTTTTCATGTTCCATCGCCATTGTTTATCTAGTTTCCAATAAAGTCATGCATTTTATCTATTAATGCACACTTTTCTTGATGGCAGCATCCCATAATTTTGAAAGTACTTCACTACATGCTGTTTCATAGAAGGCAGTCCCAAATATTAATGTCCCAAAAACTAAATCGGCTTATCAACTGTTAACTGTGAGTTAACTGAGCTTACATAAAACCATTACAAAGATCTTGTAACTGTATTGTGATGCTGTGCTTACCCATTATTTGGTGGCATAGCAAGGGGGTCTATCATGCCCCGGGTGCTCCTCTGGGTCCCAAGACAAACAAGATTTTCTGGAACATTACAATTTTTATTTTTGATCAATTTCTGGGAAATAAATTTTAAATTAGTAATTATTGTAATATAATTATTACCTTTCTTGGGTTATCTGATATATGTTTTAAATAACATTTGCAGTATATCAATCAAATATCTCTGTATACAAAACATTCTTTCTTCTTTCTTTCTGAAAACTTTATTTTCCTAAAATAGCAAAATATTTTATTTTTTAAATGAAATGCACATACAGCTCACACTAACAAAACATACTCTCTGTAGTCTTTTATTATTATAAAACCCTGGACCATGAATTAATTCTGTTGCTGTATTACATAATCAAACAGTAAGTTCATCAAAAGAAATTAATATTATGGACTTTTATTTGTTTCGACTTCTGATAATCGCTTATCGTAAACAAATGTTGCAAGTCTTTAGATATGTAAATAGATACTAATTTTACCAGCAGTAAAGTTTCTATCAAAGAATCCTTTTTTTGGATTTATTGAAGTACTTGCTAAAGATTACCTCGGTTGAAAATATAATTTAGAAAAACTGAATTCCAATCAAATTTCATTAACAAACATTACAATGATAGTTAAAATATCTTTAAGACAACTGTTTAAACATGAATCTGAAACAAAATGGAGTGCCATGCCAGAACTCAAGAGGTTAGTGGTATTGTTGATCATCTGAAGAACTAATAGAACAATTATGAGAGGACAGTTCTACCACAAGCGACACCAGAAATGAAGCTACAATTTTATTCCAAAATACTTTTTTTTTACTGTCAATGAATTTTAATTTCATAATTTATGTACATTTGTTGCATTGAACTCTTGAGGAGAACTGGTCGTGTGCAGCTCATATTACAAGATCCTAAAGTGAATTTTAGAGAAGCATTGCATGATCTTGAATAATTAGTGGCTGATCTTGCAGAAATTTGAGACAAAATCTGTGAAGAGGCAATAGAAAAGGCTATATCTCTTTGTGAAAAATGGAGTATTGATACAGCAATTCGTGTTAGAAGATGCTGAAAAATGTCTGGAGAATTGGCTAGAGATGTTGGCCTCTCTGCAGAAAGTGAAATTTTTTGCATTTTAAAAAGTGTTCCTGATCATCTGCAGCATGAAATATGTACATGATTTAGATGACTAAGTGATCTTATTTCCAAATTTAGGTATTTATTGAATGTTGGAAATTTATTAAAAAAAGAATAATGTTAATAATGATCTTGAAAAGAATTGTAAAAACGTTGGTGAATTTTAGAATATAGATTTTAATCGAACAGAACTCTGTATCAAAATGCATTGCTTAAGCCAATTAAGGGATATTATGATTTTGGGTGTAATTGTTCATGATGAAATGTTTTGGTGACTGATATATGATGTATAGATGTTGTAAGATATAAGAAAAGAAAAAGGATCAATGAACAAGGAGTAATTTGAAATTTGTTGGTAAAAAAGTGTAAAATTTATGCATATTATACAAATAAACAAATAATGTATTTTTTTGGATACAATTGAGTTTCAACTAGGGATATGGTTTCCCTGACCAAAAGCAGTGTCGCTGACCTGCAGGTCATGAAATGAATGAAGTTATCGATGAGAGGCTGGGATAATCTCTCCTACTGTAGAAGAGAGCTTTTCAAATGCTGAATTGTTTGTTGGGGGTCATTAGCATTTAGCAACCCTTCTCCCTAGAATATACCAAGCATGTTCTATTGGGTTCGTATCTGGGAAACATGGTAGCCAATCCATTTAAAGGATTCCTTCTTCGAAAAGAAAATTGTTCTCTAGCTGAGTGCAATATGGCCTGACGTTATCATCCATGAGAATGAATTCATCCTCAATTGGTGCAGCATAAAGGAACACAATAGCCTTGAGGATCTTATCCTTATATCACTGAGCCGTTAACCCATTCCTGATAATGTGCAGGTTAGTACGGTCATTGACAGAAATACCGGCACAGACCATTACTCTGCTTCAGTAAAATAGAACACTTTCATGCACAAATGCAGGCATATTCCATACAATGGTTTGGAATCAATCAATTCAATCTGTTACAAACCCTGTTTAACGTTTTTAGTAGTTTAAAGGAATGATGAGGTGAGAATCCGTACACTAAAGTGGGATTCATCCGTGAAGAGCATGTTGTTCCACGCATCTTGTCCTCATCCTAGATGCTCGTGTGCCCGCTTTCTGCTGGCAGCACGATGGTCCTGTGTCAATGAAATGCAAACCGTATGTCTGCAAGCATAGAAACTGACATGGTGGAGACAGTTTCAAATAGTTGAAACTCTGGTATCCGTAGCCCTCTGAAGGAGCTCTTGCTAAAATGTGGTATTCATAGTGTGGTTTCTTCTGATCATTAGTGTTAAATACCAATCCTTATTTTGTGCTGTTGCAAGTGTTATGACCTTGTTCTGATTTTCGGCAAAAATTTCCAGTTTCATGACCCTTCTCTAAATGACCGGTGGCCTTCAAGGCTACCGATTCAACTAAGTTGTTTTGCTGGGACATTGTATTCAGTGCTACAAAACATTCAATGTGTGTCAATATTTTTTAATCTCCTCCTACAAAAGGAATGCTGCAGGTCACTTTTCACTCCTTATCTAAAACGCATAGTTTTCACCATCACAGAAAATATTTGACTATTCCTGATTTTGTAAACGTTATGATTTTCCTTTTTAATCTCTTATATTTCCTTTTGTTAAAAAATTTGTCAATCATATGGTTATCATATCAAACTCAAAATATCCCCTAATTGTTTTGAGCAGTTTATGTGACTGCAAGATGTTACTCCGCAATAGAAAAAAAAAAAAAAGCTGAGCCTAAAACTCCTTTAGAGCTCTTTACCCATATAATATCATATCGAGAAAATGCTTTTCCAAACCTGAGAGATGCAATTAAAATACTGCTTACTATTTCATTATCAGTTGCTAGCTATGAACATTCGCCTAAGTGATTTGGCATTTTTAAATGTGGAAAGAGAAAAATTTGAAATGTTTGACAATGATTAAGCAATTGATAAATTTGCTTCATCCAAAGCAAGAAAAATGTATATATAATAATTAATTGTATTAATATATTATAATATTGTAACTTTATTAACACTAAATATATCTACTTATATTAATATATATTAAACTTTTATCATTGTTTAAAAATTGTATGTTTTTAAAACAACTATATAAATATTTTTGCATACATATGGGTTTGTAACAGATTGAATGCACAAATCCGATAAAAGGTTCCTTTAAACTATTAAAAACGTTAAATAGACTATGATGTCACAAAAATCATGTGTTCTCTGACGTCATTTGTGATTTTTGCGACTTTTTGAGTCCTCTTATGTGACTTTAGTTGAAAAATTTCTGGCAACACTGCTGCTGTGTGCTTTGTCGTAGTCACAGAAACATTTACCAATCATTAAAATTGACTTTTATTTTGCATTAATTATTTGTATGTGTGTTGGAGGTGCTATGACAAGACCCAATGCACATTAAAAAGGAGTAAATTTGTGTTTGGATTTTTCAGATTTAATCTCGTATATATTAATATTGTTTTTATTTTATGTACTGTCCTAATTTGTATGTACCAGGTACACCTGTTCAGGATGGATTGGATCCAGATTTCATCTGGCAAGAGTATCTCGAGGAGACAAAATCTGTTGCTGCACCTCCTATAGCATTCACACATGTAAGCTCCAATTTTTTATAGCAAGTGAAATAGTTTTTAAAAAATTTTAGAATTTCATTTAATTTCACTGTTAGTATGTTTATAATTAACAGTGATTGCAATATAGATCTACCAGCAGTAACAAAATACATATTGCATATAAAAGCACAATGTTAAATGCCACTTATGCCTTTAAACATTTAAGTAGAAATCCATTTTAGTGTTGACCCCTTTGTTAGGCATCTTTTTGCTGTGCTCTAACTTGAACACTAAAAAAATATAATTTTGTTCTATAAATTTGAGCATTTTTTTTTTTAATACACATGTAGAATACTGAATTTATATCATACTTTTTTATGTTTACAGTAAAGCCTTGCGAAATGCAGATTTGTCAAATATGATTTTGCTTATGTATGTTATCATAATTGTCTCCATTTAGTTTGCTCAATGTTACACTTTCATTTGTATACAGTTCAGCATTCATTTATCAACACTGAATGCTTGATGGCTACAACTCTGGCCAAACAATTTTAAAATCAACAACTTCCAGCTGTTTACTGTTAACAATTTAAAAAGATTTTCATCAATTGTAATTGAAGCCAAAAAGAAAAGTTATATAAATTGTAATAGACAGTGAGTGGAGGATTTTCAAGTATAGACGAAGGAGAAGTTACATTGTTAACTGAGAAATGATAAATGAAGAACTGAATGATCTTATAAGATAAACAGGCAGTAGAAGCAGTGATAGTGAAAAAGATAAAGTGCCTTTAATTTATAAAAAGTTAAATGAATTGTTAAAAAAGCATACAGGAGCTGTCTTATTTTGCAGTGGAAGTTGATACAAATGAAGAAAGCAAAGAATGGTGTGTGTGTGAGAAAGTGTTCTCTGCTCTCTTCATGTGAGTCAGCCTCCACTGGAAAATTAGACACAGCCCCAGTGTCTTTTTTAACAATTTGTTTAATTTTTATAAATTGAAGGCACTTTTTCTTCTTCAAAATCACTGCTTTCGCCATTCATTTGTGTTATAAGATCATCCAGTTCCTCATTTCTTAATTTTGAGTAATTCTTTGACTTCTGCTTTTTCTAAATTTGTCTTTCATAAAGAGGCATAGAACAAATCTGTGTTCCTTTCTACAAAACTAGAGTTGTGTCTGTCATTGTCCCAACCAAAAATCACCAACGTTTTTAAAAAATAATTTTATCACATACTTATTAATCAGTAGTAAAACTTCTTTCAGTAAACATTTGTTTAATTTTTCCCCCTTTTAATTATAATCATATTTACATTTAAATTATACATACTTTATAATCTGAATTACATGTAACTTATTTTTCCCATAGAAAGTTAACTATGTAGAATGTGATTTTACCATACGCAAGATTTATTTATGATGTAATCTGAATTACATGTAACTCATTTTTCCTACAGAAAGTTAGCTGTGTGGAATGTGATTTTACCATATGCAAAATGTATCCATGTTGTTACCGCCTCCTAGCATTCAGTGATTTTTTTTCCCTATTAAAATAATTATTAAGAAAAAAATATAATGTTCTTATTAATCTACAGGTTCAGATCCCTATTGTTTTAGAATTCATGATGACATATAACATCGAGCAAACTACCTTCATCGACTTCATCCTGATTAAGAACAGTATGCCCAGCTGTTTATTTTAGATTTGGAGCAAACCCTCAGGCAGAGAATGACTATACTATGAAATACTGCTCTGAATGAACTGCTGGCACAGTTAAATGTAGTTTTAAGGAATATGAATCCATATGCAGAAGCCTACAACATGCTGAAAAAAATTTGTAGAAGGAATTCTATGAGAGCAAGGTGCTGAAATTGCTGTTGCTATCCATATGTACATCAATGGCAAAAGTATTACAGGTGAGCACAGAGGACATTACAACGCACCAAAAGAAAATGAAGTTGCAGTTGTTTTAGGAGTGCAGATAGCGTTCCTCCATCAAATAGAGATATTACAATACATACAAAAGGTGTTGATCTCATTAATATCAGTATTTTAAATCCTAACTTGGAACTGATGATGTATGTAATTTTCTTTCCTTATGATGATCAAGGATTCAAAGTTGAACTGTGTGGTACACAGAGTACTAGCTTTATAGTCACAGAGTGTCTTTATGAAACATTGATACAACCCCGGTTTATATGACCGAAAATTGTTAATCAAGCAAAACTAAAGCTGAAATATTTCAAATTTTATGCATTTGCTTTTCAGACATACAAATGAATTTTACTTTGCGTGCAGTCTTCCCATCTGGTGGGCTTGCCTGCTAGTCACTTTATAAAAACACCATGAGGAATGTCCAAGTGTTGGTAGTAAGTAAATAAATCTCCTTGTTTTGCATAGGCTGCTGATAATGCAGGAAAGTGAATATATTTACCTCTACATAGGTTTCGTTTGTTTTTCCTACTAAAGCAGTCATGACTTTTTAAAAAAAAAAATTAAAATTCATCACTTTGCAATTGTAAATTGGCTTTATTTTAAGCAGCTCTGTGATACAGGTGTGATAAGTGATGCCATTTTTGGATGTGCAGATTTGTGCACAGTTTTTTCTGTTTTCATGAAAGTTCAATACCAAATCAAGCAAATTGGAGGGGAAAAAATTCAGACAAGTCAGTTATTCGAACATTTCAAACAGATTATTCAAACAATTCAATTGATAGCCCATGAATAAACCTCTGAGTGCAACAGCAAGTGATTGTAATCTTCATCATTTCCTTTAGAAAGTTAGGCCAAATAATCCAACATGCAATGGAATGCATCTAATCTTATTAACTGCTCTAACATAATGAAGCTATGTATGTGGGCGTACATTCAGACTTTTTGCAAACAAATCCTGAGGAAGAATAACGCAATGTACGGTGAGTACATTTGACATAGCATGTTTCAAATGAATGCTCTCTGAAACCTCTCTGAAAAATGAAGCTCATTCATTGAGCTGAATGGAAAATTTGCAAGTAATTGCATGTTATTTTCTGTGCAGAGTTGCCAGCTCTTCTGATTTATATGGGAGATTCCCAATTTCCAACAGTTCTCCAGCCAGCCAATTTACAACATATATCTCTTCTTACTTTCTCTTTTTAAAATTTCTCACAATTTTTATGTAGCTTGGCTTATTACTTCGTTATTTGCACATATAACAAAAAAAGTGATTTTATGCATCCAAAATCACTTGGTTTTCCTCTACATTACGTATGAAAGAAAACCAAGTCATTGCATCAGTGAGAAATTATGGTGTGCATCTGCTTTGTGAGTGAGTGCATATGTGACCAAAAACATTGCCTTCCAGTTCTGCAGTGAGCATCGAGCACTACTGTATGTCATCTGTTATACATTAGCCAATGAGCACAGAGCAAGATTGAGGTTATTATTTCATTCATCTTGTCACTGAGTAGTGAGTGAACATGCTTTCGAGAAATAGTTTAAGAAATTACGATCTTCTGTTTTAGTTATATCTGTCAATAAGGTAAAATAATCATGTACTTTTCAGAAATTGCACACAGATTACTTTCCTTCTATCTATTCCTTTTTCAAGAAAATGTAATGCATTTGCAATGTATACTGTTTGTAACTGCGATTTTTTGATTTCGCATGGTGGAAGGGTCGACGCATGGTGGATGGCCTGATTTGCTGAAACATGTGCACACACAAGGAAAAAAAAAAAAAAAAAAACACTAGGACAGCATGAGTTCTATTGCAAAAAACAGAAAAAATTGCATTTTTCTGCAGAAACAAAGAATTAAAAAAGTAGTAATGAAGAATGCCTATTCTGTGCCGTTTTACTGAAGCAGAATCTGCCACTGAATACAATGGATCATGCTGCAGCTTTATTTTAAAAAAAAATTTCCCAATAGGGAAATCACTAAGTACTCAAATACAAGGGCTAAGACGGCTGCAGTTGTTAAAAAATGAGTATGAAAAATAAACCTTTATTTATTGATTGCATTAAAACAGTTTCATTCTGTCTATGTGCAGATGGAAGCAATAATACTAATTTAAAACTATATCCATTCCCCCCCCCAATCCAGTGTCTTCAGAAATTGATTGTGGTTTACTTTCTGTCCTCACTTTAGATAGACATTCGACAGGCTTTAATATAGCTTTACTAATTATCAAACTCTGGATAATTGCTTAGCATTTTGTCCCTAGCAATAGTTTAAGAAAGAATAATGCTAAACTTGAAGACTGGTGATGTAGGCATCTTAAAAAAGGAAAATTCAAATTTGCAGGTTATGAGGTGTATTTGTCACCTCTTAAATTTAGCAGGTGAAAAGGGGGCAGCTTCTTTACTAATATGTGTAGATTTTTTATATTTATTATTATCTTAAAAGGAGCTCTAAAAAAAAAAGGAAAAATTGAAAGAATGTTTACTAATATGCGTAGATTGTTAATGTTTATAATTTTCTTGAAAGGAGCTATAAAGGAAGGAAAAATTGAAAGAAATATAATAGCTGCATAATACTGAAGCAAGAACAATTTTTAAACATGTATATACATGCTGGCTATTTTTAAAGAAATGTTTATCTAGAATTCTCATTCAAAGGAATCCACTTTTAAAGAAGTAAATGGTTCTAGAGTTAAGATAAAAGGCTGTATTGAAAGTAATAAAATACCTAAATTAAATGGAGATGCATTTACTACTTCCACTGTTAAAAACAGGTTTGAGAAAAATTAAGTAATTTCTGCACAAACGAGCAATTTAATTTGCAGTTCTGAAAATGATACTACAAAATATAAGCATAAAGCTGATACAAAATTCTCTTAAAATTAAAAAAAAAAAAAAAAAAAAAAAGAAAAAAAATTGCTCAACAAGGAAAACATTTTCTGATTGCCTTCTGATTATGTTTATCTTGTGAAGAACCAATAATTAAGTTTTTGCCTTCAGACCTTAACAGAGTTTTTTGCTTTTTTGTATAGTTTATTTTGCTGTCATCCATTGTTCTTAACACAGTTCTACAAAGCAGAATTCATTAAATTCATAATTTGCAATCAA